TATAAAAATGCATTGATATGTGTTAATATACAAGACATATCAATGCATTTTTATTATTTGCTTGATGCTAAAAACTCTTCAGTGAAATCTTTTAAACTATTTTTCAAAATTTCTTCTGCTTCTGAGGTAAAAGTATTACTAGATTTTATAATTTCACCATATTTTGGTTGATTATTAACTAAATATTGTCTTAAACCTATTAGAAAGTCTGATACACGATCAACTGGGATATCATCTAAATAACCATTAGTACCAGCAAAAATACTTGATACTTGGTCTTCTAGATTTAATGGAGAAGATTGTGTTTGTTTTAATAATTCCCGTAAACGTTGTCCTCGTGCTAACTGATTTTGAGTCGCTTGGTCTAAATCAGAAGCAAATTGAGAAAAAGCTTCTAATTCTGCGAATTGAGCTAATTCTAATTTTAATTTCCCAGCAACTTGTTTCATTGCTTTTGGTTGTGCTGCAGAACCAACACGGGAAACAGAAATTCCAACATTAATCGCAGGTCTTACATTAGCATTAAAGATATCTGCTGATAAGAAAATTTGTCCATCAGTGATCGATATAACATTAGTTGGTATGTAAGCTGAAACGTCACCTTCCTGTGTTTCTACTACTGGAAGTGCTGTCATACTTCCACCACCTAACTTATCACTAAGTTTAGCAGCTCGTTCTAAAAGACGTGAATGTAGATAAAAAACATCTCCCGGATAAGCTTCACGACCCGGAGGTCGTCTTAATAATAAAGACATTTCGCGGTATGCTTGTGCTTGTTTTGTTAAATCATCATAAATAACAAGAGTATGCTGTCCATTATACATAAAGAACTCAGCTAAAGCTGCGCCAGTATAAGGAGCTAAATATTGTAATGTTGCTGGTGAATTAGCAGTAGCTGCAACAATTATTGTATATTCAAGAGCCCCTTTTTCTTGTAATGTATTTACTACTTGAGCAATAGAAGAAGCTTTTTGACCAATTGCAACATAAACACAAACAACGTTTTTTCCTTTTTGATTAAGAATAGTGTCTACGCCGATAGCTGTTTTACCAGTTTGTCGGTCCCCAATAATTAATTCACGTTGTCCTCGACCAATAGGAATCATTGAATCAATAGATAAAATTCCAGTTTGTAATGGTTCATGTACTGATCGTCGAGAAATAATACCAGGAGCAGAGGATTCAATTAATCTGTTTGTATTACTTTGAATTTCACCTTTCCCATCAATAGGGCGAGCTAAAGGGTTCACTACGCGGCCTAAAAAAGCTTCCCCTACAGGAATCTGAGCGATTTTTCCTGTGGCACGTACAGAACTACCTTCTTGTACATTTGTACCGTCTCCCATAAGAACAGCCCCAACATTTTTTGCCTCTAAGTTTAATGCAATACCCACAGTACCGTCTTGAAACTCAAGTAATTCACCAGCCATTACATCATCAAGACCATAGATACGAGCGATTCCATCCCCAACTTGAAAAACAGTTCCAACATTAACTGTTTTAATTTCTTGTTGGTATTGTTGGATTTGTTGTTTAATAATACTACTAATTTCATCTGGTTTGATTTTTACCATAATAAGATGAACATCCTCCTGCCAATTATCCTTAAAAAAATAGACTTTATTTTTTAATTATTTTTCTAGAATCACAAAATAGTTTTAAATGTGATACTAATAATTAAAAAATATAAAATCTAAAAAAATGCTAGAATTAATTTTTTTTATAATTAGTAAAAAGTACAATTTGAAAGTTATTTAAAATCCTATGATTAGACGAATTTAACCGTAATTTTATTTTTTTTTTAACTTGATTTAATGATAATTCAATTAATTTTTCAGCTATTTGATTTTGAACTTTTTGTTGTTCTAATTTATAGCTTTCTTGTTGAAAAACCTTCAATCTATTTAAATCTTCTGTAATTTCGCGATTAAATTTTTCTTTTTCGTTTTCTATAGTAATTGAAGCTTGATTTCTAATTTTGGAAGCTTTTTGTTTTGCTTCTTCAAATTGTATTTGAGCTTGGTTCACACGTTCTTTAGCTTGTAAAGCACGCCGATCTGCTTCTTGAAAATTGGTAACAATTGTTTCTTTTCTATTTGCAAGAAGGCCTTTTAGAGCGTCTCCGACGTAAATAACCACAACAGCTAATACTACAGCTAAATTTAATACATTGGTTTCAATTATATTTGTATTAAAACTAAAATGATCCGCTAAAATAAAAAGCGAGTTAGCATTCATAATAAATTTTTTTATTTAATTTTGTTATGATACAAAAGGGATTGCAAATAAAAGAGCTAAAGCAACAACCAGACCATAAATTGTTAACGATTCCATAAAAGCAAAACTTAAAAGTAAAGCACCTCTAATTTTACCTTCTGCTTCTGGTTGGCGAGCAATACCTTCTACTGCATAACCAGCAGCAGTTCCTTGTCCAATACCAGGACCAACAGCAGCAAGACCAACAGCAAGACCAGCAGCAACAACGCTAGCAGCAGCAACAAGTGGATCCATAAGATTATTTCCTCCAATAAAGTTTTTTACTTGTGTAAAACATTTATGATTTACTTAGAATTATTTTAACATTTTTTTTATAAAAAAAACAATTTTAAAAATTAATTAATTTTATTAAATACTAAAAAAAATTAATTAATAAAAAAAAAATTAAAAATTATTTTTAATGGTGATCTTCTAACGATTCACCAATATATGCCCCGGCTAATGTAGCAAAAACCAAAGCTTGGATGGCACTTGTGAATAAACCAAGCAACATTATTGGAATTGGAACTACCAAAGGTACTAAAGTAATTAATACACCTACAACTAATTCATCAGCTAAAATATTACCAAAAAGTCGAAAACTCAAAGAAAGAGGTTTTGTAAAATCTTCTAAAATATTAATTGGTAATAAAAATGCCGCTGGAGATATATAACGTTTAAAATACGAGAATCCTTTTTTACTAATACCTGCATAAAAATACGCAAGTGATGTTAAAAGAGCTAAAGCAACTGTAGTATTAATATCATTTGTAGGAGCCGCTAATTCCCCATTTGGGAGTTCTAAAATACGCCAGGGTAATAAAGCACCTGACCAGTTAGATACAAAAACAAATAAAAATATTGTTCCTAAAAAAGGAACCCATTTTATATAATCTTTTTCTCCAATTTGGGTTTTTGCTAAATCTCTAATAAATTCAGTAACATATTCCGTTAGATTTTGTAAATTTTCTGGGATAGTTTTTAAATTTTGATTAGCTATTAATGCTATTCCAATAATAAGACTTAATACAACCCATGATGTTATTAGTACTTGACCATGAACAAAATAGGGTCCTAAGTTCCAATACCAATGTTGACCAACAGAAACTTCCGCTAAATCAAACAAAACGTTTGTCATAAATACTATTTCCTCTATAAAAATATAAATTCAAGTGGCTTTTATTAAAAAGAGTTTTAATTATAGCTTTCTTATATTTACTATACATTTACTTTATAAAACATAAAAATTTTTATGTTTTTTTTGATTTAATTCGACTTGATTTTTTTATATTTTGTTTAACATTTAATAATTGTTGGTTCTCATTATTAATTTTTTCCCCAGAAAGTATTGCGTCTTGAAAGTTAGAAAGTAAGAATTTAACCGTTGCCGCAGAATCATCATTAGCTGGAATATACCAATCTGCTAAATAAGGGTCACAGTTACTATCAAGAAGGGTCACTGTAGTAATACCTAATTGTCGACATTCTTTAACAGCATTTAATTCTTCAGATTGCCCTATGATTATTACAACATCAGGCAATTTTTTCATATTTTCTAGCCCAGCTAAATTTTTTTCTAAACGTAATTTTTGGCGTTTCTTTTTTGCAATTTCTTTTTTCTTTAATAAATCCCATTCCCCTGATTCTTCAGCTTTTCTAAAAGATTGTAATTGTTGTAGAGACTGTTGAATCGTTTTCCAATTTGTTAGCATTCCACCTAGCCAACGTTGATTAACGTAATAGCTATTACACGCAATAGCTGTTTTTTCAATTAAAGGGGCTGCTTGTTTTTTCGTGCCAACGAATAAGAATTTTTTTCCTTGAGCAGCACTTTTTTCTAAAAACCCTAATAAGTCATTTAAAAGATAATATGTTTGCACTAAATCTAAAATATGCCGCCCATATCGTTCGCCATAAATAAACGGTTTCATTCGCGGATTCCATTCAGAAGTAAAATGCCCAAAATGCATTCCACTTTGTACCATATCCTCTAATTTTATTATTTTATTATTATTTTTAAACATAATATTTAATTTTTTTTTTTACTAATTATTTATGTTGTTTTTTTAATTATATTTAATTTTTATTTTTTAATAATTAATTTTATTGTTTTTATAATATTAAAAATTATAGAAATATTTACAACATTATATTTCTATTTCTTTTTTAATATTTTGAAATTTCAATAGCCTACTATCGGAGTTGAACCGATAACCTTCGGTTTACAAAACCGATACTCTGCCAATTGAGTTAAGTAGGCTTTATTACTTTAAGTTTAATTAAAATATAGAATAAATATTTTAAGTTTTCCATAAACTTAGAATATTTATTCTATATTATGTGTAATGCATCATAATTTAACCTCTACCAGTCATTTGAAGCCAATTTTGTGCTTCAATGTAGTTAGTCGGCGCTATTCTAATAGCTTCACGCCAGTAGTCCGCAGCTTTATCAAATAGCAATTTAGATATTTCTATTTGCCCTATCTCTATAGCTTGTTCACCCCGATAATGAAAAATTACAGCCACATTATTTAAAGCTTGTGGTAGTGCGGGATTTCGTTCTAATGCTTGATAATAATAGTCTAAAGCGCGCGCGTGATCACCATTACTAGTATGGATTAATCCAATATTATATAAGATATAACTTCGGTCATACGCATCTGTTTCTAAACGCAAAGCTTCGTAATAATTTTGCAAAGCTTCTGCGTATTCTCCTTCAGACTGAGCTGACATTCCATCTCGATAGTAGCTAAATGCTTGTTTTTCGCGATTAGAAGTAGGTAATATTTTTAATAATATATCAGCAATTACAGTAAAAGATTTATCAATAAAATTATCGTTTCGTTGTGACCGTGGCATATTTTAAATCATAGTATTTTTGTATTAACTAGTTTTTAGCTAGTTAATACAAAAAATTATATATTAATAAATGTTGAATTTGAAAAAATAGAAAAATTAATCAATATCTTTTTGCCCTGGACTTCTGCCCGGGTCATTAGATAAAAATCCAAAAATGAAAAGTGAAACAAAAAATGTTACAACAGTATATACAAAAATTTTTAAAGTTAACATGTATTTAAAAATTAGTTTTTAATTTATAGGCTACAGATAATTTTATTATAACATATTTTTATTAATAATTATTAAATTTTTTTAAAATTGAATTTGAGCTTAGTAGGAATTGAACCTACATTAGAAACTTAGAAGGTTCCTGTCCTATCCATTAGACGATAAGCCCGTGACAAATCTTTTTATTAATTAATACTTATCAATAAAAAGATTTGTCAAGTTATTTAATTATACCCAAAAACACGTTTAAAGGCTTCACGTACTTTATCCCCAGAATCTATAGATTCTAACGGGTCTTTTCTTAATCGATGACGTAAAGATAGTGGAATTACTTTAAAAATATCCTTTTCATTCACGTTAGTATGACCATAAAAAGCAGCTAAAGCTTTACTTGCTCGATTTGTTACTAAATCTCCGCGTAAACCATCTACATCCAATTCTCCACAAATTTGCGAAATTTTGATACGGAAATCATAATCAATTTGAACTTCCGGTAGCAACTCTCTAGCTTTAATTATTTGATTTGCTAGTTGTTCTTGTGATTGCTTATAAATATTTCTAAATTTTAAAGGAGATGCATCAAAATCAGCTCGTTGTTCTACAATTTGCACACGTAAATGGGGTTCTTTAACAGTTCCTATTTGAGCATGCATCCCAAATCTATCTAAAAGTTGTGGTCTACATTCCCCTTCTTCTGGATTTCCAGAGCCAACGAGAATAAAACGAGCTGGGTGACTAATTGAAATACCTTCTCGTTCCACGGTATTCCAACCAGAAGCTGCAGAATCTAATAAAACATCTACTAAATGATCATCTAAAAGATTAACTTCATCGACGTATAAAATACCACGATTTGCTTTTGCTAATAAACCCGGTTCAAAAGCTTTAACACCTTGTGTCAAAGCTTTTTCAATATCGATTGTACCACAAACACGATCTTCTGTGGCCCCTAACGGCAAATCTACCATCGAAATTTTTTTTTTAATGATAGATAATGATTCTTTTTTTTGTATTTTTTCTCGAACTTCTTTACTCATCAATTCAAGGTCATGCGGATCTGAATTAAATGGATCATCTTCTATACTCTCTATTTCTGGTAATAAATCGACTAGCGCGCGTACAGTAGTAGATTTTCCTGTTCCTCTGTCACCCATAATCATAACGCCCCCAATTTTTGGGTCAATTACATTCAAAATAAGAGCTAGTTTCATTTCATCTTGACCAACAATAGCGGTAAAAGGAAAAACGGGTCTTATTTGTTCTAAATTAGTTGTATCTGTATCTGTTGAAATCATAATATGATCAGAGAATAATTTTATTTTAATTGTTAATATTCTGATTTTTTATAGTTCTTAATATATAAAAAAACTCTTAATTTCTAATTACTAATAGTATAACTTTTTTACAAAATTAATTCAATTAAAAGTATTTTTTTTTTACTCTATGAAAGAGTATAATAAAACAAGAAATTAAAATATCTATAAATTATAAAAATGCAGAGAAGAAAATTTTATTTTTTATGTTTTTTAATTTAAAAAACAGATAGAATCAATTTTATGAAGTATTCCATTTATCTATTTAAACTACCAATTAATTTTTGTATTAAATTAACATTTCTTTTGGGTATTACTTTTCTAGTTAGTGCTCCAAGTAATGCCTATCCTATTTTTGCTCAACAAAATTACAACAACCCTCGGGAAGCAAATGGGCGAATTGTGTGTGCGAATTGTCATTTAGCCCAAAAGCCAATCGAAATTGAAGTACCACAAGCTGTTTTACCAAATACAGTATTTGAGGCAGTTGCAAAAATACCTTACGATAAACAAATTAAACAAGTTTTAGGGAACGGTAAAAAAGGTGATTTAAATGTAGGCGCTGTGCTTATTTTACCAGAAAATTTTCAGTTAGCACCTCCGGAAAGAATACCAGAAGAAATTAAAGCGAAAATGGGGAAATTATATTTTTCATCATATAATGCGGAAAAACCTAATATTTTAGTTGTTGGGCCAGTTCCAGGTAAAAAATATAAAGAACTTGTTTTTCCTATTTTATCACCCGATCCGACTAAAAATAAATCAGTATCGTATTTAAAATACCCTATTTATTTTGGTGGAAATCGTGGTCGTGGTCAAATTTATCCAGACGGCTCAAAAAGTAATAATACTATTTATACTGCATCTAGCGCCGGAAAAATCACTAGTATAGAACCAATTGAGAAAAAAGGCGGATTTTTAATTAGTATTCAAACGGCAAATGGTGATATTATTACAGATACAGTACCGCCAGGTCCCGAGTTAATTGTAAAAACTGGTAATGAAGTTAAGCTAGATCAAGCATTAACAAGTAACCCGAATGTCGGTGGTTTTGGGCAAGGTGAAACAGAAATTGTTTTACAAAACCCAACTCGAATTATCGGTTTATTAGTTTTTTTTATTTTAGTTTTATTTGCCCAAGTATTTTTTGTATTAAAAAAGAAACAATACGAAAAAGTTCAATTATCTGAAATGAATTTTTAATTAATTTAAAAAATTTATTCTTTCATAAATCAATTTTATTAAAAAAATGATTACAATTTTTAGTTATCTCGCTTTATTAATTGGAGCTTCATTAATAACAGTAATATGTTATTATAGTTTAGTAAAAATTAAATTAATATAAAAAAATTATTATTTTTTTATTAATAATTATTTAATTTATCGGGTTTGGAGAAATTTTAAATATGGTAGAACCATTATTATCAGGGATTGTTCTTGGCTTAGTTCCAGTAACAATTATAGGATTGTTTGTTACCGCGTACTTACAATATCGTCGTGGTGATCAGTTAAAATTGTAATTAGTTTTTAATTAAATTTACTAAAATCTAGTAACTTGAAAAAATTTAAAAACATACTATACTAATTTATAGCGTAAACAAAAAAACAAATATTTATTAAAAATATTTTTAATAAATATATATTTAATTTTAACAAAATTTGTGCAAATTATTTAATAATTTGCATAAATTATTACAAGGAGATAGTCTCGTTATGACTATAGCAATTGGAAAAAATCAAGAAAAACGTGGTTGGTTTGATATCGTTGATGACTGGCTTCGTCGTGATCGTTTTGTATTTATTGGCTGGTCAGGTCTATTATTATTCCCTACTGCATATTTAGCATTAGGTGGTTGGTTAACTGGAACAACATTTGTAAGTTCTTGGTATACTCATGGCTTAGCTACTTCTTATTTAGAGGGTTGCAACTTTTTAACTGTTGCTGTTTCTACACCCGCTAATAGTATGGGGCATTCTTTATTATTTTTATGGGGTCCCGAAGCTCAAGGTGATTTTACTCGTTGGTGCCAACTTGGAGGTCTTTGGACATTTGTTGCACTACACGGTGCTTTTTCTTTAATTGGATTTATGCTTCGTCAATTCGAAATCGCACGTTCAGTTAAAATTCGCCCATATAACGCAATTGCATTTTCTGCACCTATTGCAGTTTTTGTTGCTGTATTTTTAATTTACCCATTAGGTCAATCTAGTTGGTTTTTTGCACCGAGTTTTGGTGTTGCAGCTATTTTCCGTTTTATTTTATTCTTCCAAGGTTTCCACAACTGGACTTTGAATCCTTTTCATATGATGGGTGTTGCTGGTGTTCTAGGAGCTGCGCTTCTTTGTGCAATTCATGGCGCAACAGTAGAAAATACTCTATTTGAAGATGGCGACGGTGCAAACACATTTCGTGCGTTTAATCCAACTCAAGCAGAAGAAACTTATTCTTTTGTAACAGCAAATCGCTTTTGGTCACAAATATTCGGTGTAGCGTTTTCTAATAAACGTTGGTTACATTTCTTTATGTTATTTGTACCAGTAACTGGTTTATGGACTAGTGCTTTTGGTGTAGTAGGCTTAGCATTAAATTTACGTGCATCCGATTTCGTTTCACAAGAAATTCGTGCTGCTGAAGACCCAGAATTTGAAACTTTTTATACAAAAAATATTCTTTTGAATGAAGGTATTCGTGCTTGGATGGCTGCTCAAGATCAGCCTCATGAAAAATTAGTATTCCCAGAGGAGGTTTTACCACGTGGAAACGCTCTTTAATAGTAGTTTGGTAATCGGTGGACGTGATCAAGAATCTACTGGTTTTGCATGGTGGGCAGGTAATGCCCGCTTAATTAACCTTTCTGGTAAATTATTAGGTGCACACGTTGCACACGCAGGATTAATTGTATTTTGGGCAGGGGCAATGAATTTATATGAAGTTGCTCACTTTGTACCAGAAAAACCAATGTACGAGCAAGGTTTAATACTTTTACCCCATCTTGCTACATTAGGTTATGGTGTTGGTCCAGGTGGTGAAATTTTAGATACTTATCCGTACTTTGTATCTGGAGTTTTACATTTAATTTCTTCTGCCGTATTAGGATTTGGGGGAATATATCATGCATTAATTGGACCTGAAACATTAGAAGAATCTTTTCCTTTTTTTGGATACGTTTGGAAAGATAAAAACAAAATGACTACTATTTTAGGTATTCATTTAGTTATTCTAGGTATCGGAGCTTGGCTTTTAGTATTAAAAGCTCTTTATTTTGGTGGTATTTACGATACATGGGCTCCAGGTGGTGGTGATGTTCGTTTAGTAACTAACCCAACTGTAAACCCGGGTGTTATTTTTGGTTATATTTTAAAATCACCTTTTGGTGGTGATGGTTGGATTGTTAGTGTTGATAACCTTGAAGATATTATAGGTGGCCACATTTGGATTGGTACTCTATGTATTTTTGGTGGTATTTGGCACATTTTAACGAAACCTTGGGCTTGGGCACGTAGAGCTTTTGTATGGTCTGGTGAAGCATACCTTTCTTACAGCTTAGGTGCTATTTCAATAATGGGTATTGTTGCTTGTTGTATGTCTTGGTTTAATAATACAGCATACCCTAGTGAATTTTACGGTCCTACTGGACCTGAAGCTTCACAAGCACAAGCTTTTACTTTCTTAGTACGAGATCAACGTTTAGGCGCTAATGTTGCGTCTGCACAAGGACCTACTGGTCTTGGTAAATATTTAATGAGATCACCAACTGGAGAAATTATTTTTGGTGGTGAAACTATGCGTTTTTGGGATTTCCGTGGTTCATGGTTAGAGCCTTTACGTGGTCCAAACGGGTTGGATTTAAATAAATTAAAAAATGATATCCAACCTTGGCAAGAACGACGTGCTGCTGAATATATGACTCATGCTCCATTAGGATCATTAAATTCAGTAGGTGGTGTAGCTACAGAAATCAATGCTGTAAATTTCGTGTCACCACGAAGTTGGCTAGCTACTTCTCATTTTTGTTTAGGTTTCTTTTTCTTTATTGGGCATTTATGGCATGCTGGACGTGCTCGTGCAGCAGCTGCAGGATTTGAAAAAGGACTTGATCGTGATAATGAGCCTGTATTATCAATGCGGCCATTAGATTAACTTTCTTAATGCTCCTCCCCACAATGGGGGGGCATTATTTTATAAAAAACTAAATTTTTTTACATATCTTTATTTTTTTATTAGCTGATAATAATATGATAAATACTACATACCAGGAGAAATGGCCGAGTGGTCGAAGGTAACGCATTGCTAACGCGTCGTATGATAAAACATACCGAGGGTTCGAATCCCTCTTTCTCCGATTTTAATAGCTACAATTTTTTAAGCTTGGCGGGAATTGAACCCGCGACAACGTGCTTCGGAAACACGTACTCTTGATCCACTGAGTTACAAGCTTTAATATTTGTTTAAAAATATTTATTATTTATAACTAGAATATTTATAAATAATAAATATTTTTAAACATTAAGATCCTTTAATTTTCCCGCCCGCAGCTTCTAATTGTTGTTTTGCTGTTTCTGATTCTTCTTTTGACGCACCTTGTAAGATTGTTTTTGGTAAATCTGTAATAGCTTCTTTTGCTTGTTTTAAATCTAAAGAAGTTAAATTACGTATTACTTTTAAAATAGGTACACGTTTGTCACTTGGAACTTCTTCTAAAATAATATCAAAAGTAGTTTTTTCTTCTATTACTTCTTCTTGTTTTGTAATTTCTGTTGAAGCTGCACTTGTTCCACTTGTTGTTTGAATAGATGCATCTACACCAAAAGCATCTTCAATTTGTGATACTAATTGCGAAGCTTCTAATAAAGTAATTGTTTTTAGTTTTTCTAAAATCTCAATAGTTATTGTAGACATAAATAAAACTGATCTCCTGAGTTTTTGAATAATAGAGCTAATTTTTAAATTTTTTATTTTAGCTTTTAATATATTTATTTATTATATGTTTTTATAATGATAAAATCAATTAGTTAATTTGAAAGTTAAACTTCAAAATTAACTAAGTAAAATTAACGTTTTGAGTATTGTGGGGCTTTTCGCGCTTTTTTTAATCCATATTTACGTCGTTCTTTAATACGAGCATCCCGAGTTAAAAAACCTTGCGCTTTAAAAGAAGCTCTTAATTCTGGAATAAGTTCGATAAACGCTTTACATAATGTTAATCTAATAGCTTGAGCTTGTGCACTTAAACCACCCCCATTGACAGAAATATAAGCATTATATTTAGTCGAGGTTTCTATTAGTTGATATACTTGAAATATATTATGTAATAATGCTTTATTATTTTGAAAATAAAGTTCAGCTGGTTTCCCATTTATAAAAAGATTTTCAGTTGCACTAGGACTTAACTTTACACGAGCGGAAGCTGTTTTTCTCCCACCTGAATGTATTAATTCATGTTTAATTGATGACATTATTAAAAAATTCTCCTTAAATTTTTTGTAGCATAAATACAAAAAATTATTTTTACTAATCTAGAATAATTTATATTTTTTACTAACTCTCTAAAAAATTAAATTTTTTTAAAGAGATAAACTAACAAGCGTAAAATCAAAAAATAATTTTGTAAGTTTATATAAGCTATATTGCAAAGCTTGTTTTGGATGAATACTACCATCTGTTATAATTTCTAAGATAAGATATTCAAATTCTTGCTTTGTACTTACTTTTTGAATAAAAAAATTAGTTTGTTTTATAGGGCTTGGGAAACGTTGTACATTAAAAACTTTATAATCATCTATAAATTCTTGCGGGTTTATAAATGGTTGAAATTTATTAGGATCAACTAATGCAATTTTCAAACTAAGGGATAATTCCCCATCCCAACTAACTGAAGCTATATGTTGAGATGGTACGACACAACTAATATTTGGGGGAAATTTTATATCACCTGCAGTCGCTATTTTTGGTCCCTGTATTTTTAAAAAAGCTTCCATTTCTTTTTGACCAGATACCAAACAATGGATATTTTCGCTAGTATGGGTAAAAACAATTTCTTTAAGATTTTCAATAATGTCAAATAGAGTCTCGTGAACTCCTGGAATAATATCAAATTCGTGGCGAGTTCCTAAAAAAGTTATATCTGTTAAAACTAAACCTGGAACACCTGCTATTAAATTCCGTCGAATGGCATTTGAAAAACTTAATGCATGGTCTTTTAAAAAAAGACCTAAATGAAACCGAGCGTACATTTGCCCAGAATCTAATGTTTTTGATTCTACAAACGAAATAAATTTTTTTTCTAATTTTTTTTTATTCATATAAATTATAGTTATTATGGTTTTTAGCGTGTAAAAATTTATATGTATATTTTATATTTAAATTCTACGCTTTTTAGGCGGTCGACAACCATTATGTGGAATTGGTGTAATATCACGAATAACAGTAATAGTTAATCCAGCATCACGTAATCCCCGTAACGCTGCTTCTCGACCAACCCCAGCCCCTTTAATCCTAACAATAAGTTCTTTCATACCTTGACTAACGCAAATTTGTGCCACATTTTCCGCAGCTTGCTTTGCAGCTAAAGGAGTTTTTTTTCGAGCACCTTTAAATCCAGATGTACCTGAAGACGCCCAAGCTAAAACATTACCTTTAGGATTTGTAATTGTAACTATAGTGTTATTAAAAGTCGATTGAATATGAGCAACTCCCCGTATTACTTTTTCTTTAAATTTTTTTTTTGAAATTTTTTCAACTTTTTTTGGCATATTTATATATTTTTTTTAATAATTTAAAATTATTATCAAATAGAATTATTAATAATAATTTTAATGTAATACAAAATTTTATACAATAGTATATCATTTGAGTTTCTCAGAACTAAATGATATAACGCTTTAACCTTGCTTTTGCTTGTGTTTTGGGTTTTGGCAAATAATACGTAAAACTCCCTTACGACGAATTAAACGACATTTTTCGCACATTTTTCGAACTCCAGGACGAACTTTCATAAATTTAAAAATTGTAATTGGTTTTATTTTTTTTTTCCCGACCGAAAGCGATGAGTAATACGCCCACGTTTTAAATCATATGGGCTTAATTCCACAATAACCCGATCTCCTAATAATATTCGAATATATCTTTGTCGAATTTTGCCCGAAATGTGTGCTAATATTAAAACCCCATTATCTTTTAATTTAACCCTAAAAAGACCATTAGATAAACATTGGGTTATCACACCTTCCATCTCTAAAGCATCAAGACGTGAACTTTTATTTAAATACACTTTAACCTCCGATTATTTTTTTTATAAGGCAACAAGTATTACTGATTTTTTATATTAAAAAAAAGCTAAAAAATTAGGATAATTTAAATAAAACTAAATTTATTTAATTTACCATATAGAACAAACTAATTCACCACCAAGGTGAGAGTTTCGAGCTTCTTTATCTGTCATTAATCCTTTTGAAGTTGAAATAATAATAATTCCTAACCCACCTAAAATTTTAGGAATTTCTTTATAATTTGAATAAATTCGTAAACCGGGTTTACTAATTCTTTTTAAATTTGTAATACAAGGTTTACCAGCAGAGCCATTTGATATTAACCCCGTTTTCTTATATTTAAGACTAACGATTAATTCGTTTTTGTTTATATCTAAAACGGAAAAACCAGCTATAAAGCCTTCTTGTTGTAATATTTCGCAAATTTTTTGATTTATTTTGGTATTAGCAATTAATACTGTAGGTTTAGATACTAAATTTGCGTTTCGAATTCGGGTCAACATATCACTAATTGTATCAGTTATCATATTTTTGAATTTTTTTAATAAATATTTAAAAAGGGTTTAAAGATAATTATTTAGCGATCAACTTAGATGATTTTTATTTTTTAGATTTATCTTTAAAAGGCATGCCAAATGCTTGTAACAAACTCATAGCCTGCCCATCTGTTGTGGATGTAGTTACTATTGATATATCCATACCTCGAATTTGATTAATTTTATCATAATCAATTTCAGGAAACATAAGTTGTTCTTCTAAACCTAAATTATAGTTTCCATGACCATCAAAACTTTTAGGATTAACTCCTTGAAAATCGCGTATACGTGGTAATGCTAAATTAATTAACCGGTCTAAAAAAGCATACATACGGTCACCTCGAAGGGTAACAACAATACCTACTGGCATTTTTTGTCGAAGTTTAAAAGCTGCAATTGGTTTTTTTGAACGTGTAATTACACCTTGTTGTCCAGTTATACTGCAAATTTCTTTATTACAAGATTCTAAAAGTTTTGCGTTTTGAGAAGCATCACCTAGACCACGATTAATTATAATTTTTTTAATATGTGGTACTTGGTGTTTGTTTTTATATTGATATTCTTTAAAAAGTTGGGGAACTATTTCCTTTTGATAATATTGTTGAAGTCGTTGTACCATATTAATTTTTTTATAAATTTTAATTAAAAGAGAATATAAGAATACTAAAATAGCGAATTAAATAAATAATAAAAAAAAAATAAAATTTATAAAACTTCTGGTGCTAATGATATAATTTTTGTAAAATTACCATCACGTAATTCTCGGGCTACTGGCCCAAAAACTCGAGTACCGCGAGGATTTGATTCTTTATTTATAATAACGGCCGCATTTTCATCAAACCGGATACTTGTTCCGTTTTTTCGACGTACATTTTTTCTTGTCCGTACAATAACAGCACGAACAACATCTGATTTTTTAATTAACATATTTGGGGCCGCATCTTTTACTACAGCTATAATAATATCCCCAATACCAGCAGCTTGTTGTTTAGCACCACTTAATACTCGAATGCACATTATTTCACGAGCCCCTGTATTATCTGCTACTCGAAGATAAGATTGTGGTTGAATCATAATAATTTATTTATTGGTTCTTTTAAAATATTTTTTAAGAAAACAGTAATTTTTTTTTATAAAAAGAATATAGATTTAAAAAATCAACCTTTTTATAAAAAAAAATAAATTAAAACTAAATTGATTTTTTTAAAAGAATTTGTGTTTTAATTGGTAATTTAGAAGCTGCTAATTTTAAAGCCGTACGGGCACTAGTCTCTGGAACCCCTTTTAACTCATAAAGAACTTTACCAGGTTTTACTACCGCAACCCAGTATTCAGGCGCTCCTTTCCCAGAACCCATTCGTGTCTCTGCAGGTCTCATTGTTACGGGTTTATCTGGAAATAATCTAATCCATAATTTACCACCACGACGAACTTGGCGTGTTACAGCACGTCGAGCTGCTTCAATTTGTCTAGATGTGATCCATGAACACTCTAAAGCCTGTAATCCATAGTCACCAAACACTAATTTATTACCGCGTAAGGCTTTTCCAGACATGCGACCACGATGGTATTTACGATATTTTGTTTTTTTGGGACTAAGCATATGTTATATAAAATTTAGAATTTATTAATTTATAATACTATAAAATTTGTAACTTTATAGATTACTTAATGGAGTTAAACGCTCACCGCGGAAAACCCAAATTTTAATACCTAAAAGGCCATAAATAGTTTTTGCTGATTTTTCGGAATAATCTATTTCAGCGCGTAATGTTTGTAATGGTACTGGTCCACTTCGTAAATCTTCAGAACGAGCAATATCTGCCCCATTTAAACGACCAGAAATTTTTACTTTAATACCCTTAACACCAGCTTTTATTGCTTTCCGAACAACTTGTCTCATAGCTTTTCGATAAGGTTTTCGTTGTTGCAAATCATCAACTAATTTTTCTGCAAGTACCATTGCATGTATATCTGGATTATTAGTTGAATTTATAGAAATCGTACAAAAAATTTTTCCAGGGTCTGGCAAGTTTCTTACTTTATAAAATTTTTTAAGATGTTTTAATAAATTATCTCTTAATTGTGATAAACCTTCTGACCAATTTGATTTTGTAGTTTTTTTAGAAAAAGAGTTACGATTTAAAAAAATATTTGGTCGTGCTGCATGAATTTTAATGCTTATAAAAGGGAATTCAATTTCACGTCTTTGAATTTCAATATTAATAATACCTGCTCCAAAAAAAGCTTTTTCTATATAATTTCGAATAAAACTTGCATCTTGAACCCAAAGTGCTGATGTTTGAGATTTTGTACACCAATAATTTTTATGTTTTTGAGTAATACCAAGACGAAATCCCAAAGGATGTACTTTTTGTCCCATATATTAATTATCTTTTTGTTTTTTTATCTTTTTTTACGTGCCCTTTAAAAGTGCGAGTAGGGGCAAATTCACCTAATTTATGCCCAACCATTTGATCTGTAATAAAAAGTGGAATATGTTGGCGGCCATTATGCACAGCAATCGTATGTCCTATCATTAATGGAACAATCGTTGAGGCTCGGGACCATGTTTTTACTACTTTTTTTTTACCTTGACTATTTAATCGTTCAATTTTTTTAAACAAATGATTTGCTACAAAAGGAATTTTTTTTAATGATCGTGTCATATAATTAGTGATAAATTTAAAATATTATTTATTTTTTTACAAACAAATATTTAAAGGTTTTTAAAAACCTTCTCTAAAAACACAAAACGAATATAAAATTAGAAATTAACAATTAGTTTGTTACTAAATTTTTTACGTTTACGGGTTTTTACACCTAATGCTGGCTTACCCCATAAACTTACTGGACGAGCCCGACCAATAGGTGCTTTTCCTTCACCACCACCATGTGGGTGATCTACTGGATTCATAGCTGAACCTCGGACGTGGGGGCGTCGACTTAACCAACGACTTCTGCCTGCTTTTCCTAATGTTATATTAGAATTATCGATATTTCCAACACGACCAATAGTAGCCCAGCATTTTTCAGAAATTAATCGAGACTCGCCTGATGGTAAACGAAGTGTAACCCAGCGGCCTTCTTTTGCTACGATTTGTGCTACAGAACCAGCTGATCTTACAAATTGACCACCAGCTCCGGGTTGGAGTTCAACGTTATGAACAGAAGTCCCTAATGGAATATTAGATAATGGTAAAGTATTACCAATAGTTATAGAGGCATTAGGTGAAGAAAGTAATTTTTCTCCGATTTTTAATCCAAGAGGGGATATAATGTAGCGTTTTTCGCCATCGTTATAAGAAACTAATGCAATGCGTGCAGTACGGTTTGGATCATATTCAATATTTTTTACTGTAGCAGAAACCCCAATTTTATTTCTTGTAAAATCGATTTTTCTATATAATCTTTTATGACCACCACCACGATGCCTACTTGTAATAATACCTTTGTTATTTCGACCTTGAGACCGAGACCAACCCTTAGTTAATTTTTTTTCGGGTTTTTTTGATGAAATCTCATCAAAATTTAATACTGAACCGTGACGACTTCCTGGAGTAGACGGTTTAAAAAAACGAATAGCCATACTTTGTTTTATATTAAAAATTTATAATAAATACATATTAGCTTAATAAATTAACATTTGAACTTACTGTAATAATTACCCGTTTTGAGCGTGGTGAAGAATTTGAACGTTTTAATTTTCGTGGTGGTCGGTGTGTATTTACCGCCAAAACTTTAATATTAAAATAGTCTTCAACTAGCTTTTTTATTTGGGGTTTTGTAAGTTTTTTATCTATATCAAAACTAAATTGATTATTTTCAAGTAAACGGGTAGCTTTCGGAGTTTTTATTACTGGATATTGCAATAAATCTAACATCATAATTTTAAAAATTCTCCTTAAATAATAAGAATTGCATTTGTTTATTTTTATACTAAATAATATTAATCGTATAAATGCTAAAATAGGCCGTTTATAATAAAATCTATTTGTATATCATCTAATACAATAACAAGCTATCACACTATTAATAAATAATTAAAAATGATTAATAATGTTAAAATTAGATAATTTTAACATTATTAATCATTTTATTCTAGCATATTATGGTAAGTAGCAACAGTAGAAGGAGATATTCTATTTAAAGATCTAAAGACCCAATATTTAAAGATTGTATCTAAAAAAACTGGAAATGTTGATACAAATAGCGATAAAAATAGACTACTCTCAGAAAAGCCAAAATGTATAAAAATCCACTTTAAAAAAATATTCCAACCTCTTGGTGAATGAAAACCAACAAGTAAATCTGTCCCTAAAATTAATAAAAAGGATTTTGTAGTATCACTAAAACTATAGAGAGATTCCGCCAAAAATGATTGCAAAATAATCATTTGAGGTTTCATCGAAGAGAATATAATAAATATACTGAAAATACTGCAAAAATCTGCAATTAAATTAGTAATTGCTCTAATACTTTGCTCATTATAAGTTTGTGTAATTTCAAAAATTTTTTTTTGTAATGATTGACCTATGTTTTTGTTTGTGTCAAAAAAATCATCATCAACAAGTGAATCAAAATAAATAATTTCATGAGCAAAATTAAATTCTTTTAATGCACGCTTTTTTTGATCAGAATTCAAAAAAATCTCATTACCGGGACGATTCCAGTAATGTTCTACAATAGGTCTAATTAGCAAAAATTTCAAACTTATGTTTACTAAAGGTGGAACAAGAAATAAAATTAATAAAGATTGAACAGATACAATAAGTTGATAGCGCGATATTCTATATTCTTCAATAGCTAGTACTTCTACACCAGGCAATAATTGTTTTTTTAATTTATCTAAAGTACGAATAATGGATCTTGGTATTAATCCAATTCGTTCTACAGCTTCATATCTCATCTTTTTTTAATAGATTTTATAATATTTTAACAAAAAATTGTTGTATTTTTTTATTATTAAATCAAAATTTTATATTAAGAAGCTAATTCAGAAATTTCTAAAGACACTTTTAATAATTTAGCTATATCAGTAGCTTGTGTTTCAATTTCTTGTATACTCATTGGTTGCCCAGCCCCAATTAAAGGAATTTCACGATTCCCTCGTAATTTTAAAAAAATAGCCCGTTTTGTATTAATCCCTTCTTTTATTTCAACTCTAATACTTTGAACATCTTTAATCGGGTATCTTAAGTCAATACGTCTATTATTTCCCGGAAAGCCCCACCTAAAAACACGAACCTCATCTGTTTTTAAATTAAATTCGTTATCCCCGTGACCTAAATTCCAAATAATAGTTAACCAAATATAAATTCCTAATAATAAACCTATGAGTCCATAAAAACACATAACTAACCCTTGCGGAATAAATTGAATATTAGGTGCTTTAAATATAAATAATTGATCATTTATGTTTAAAGCACTTAAGCTTCCTACTGCTAAAAATCCTATTCCACCGATAAACATTAAAGATCCCCAAAAATAATTACTAAATCGCCGAGCGCCAGAAACAGTATAATAGAGACTTTCTTTTTGTGTTGTCATTTCTTTTTAATTTTGTTAATGTAACTTAGCACGCGTTTGTTTATTAAGAAGATTTCGCAACCCAAATTGGTGGTAATTTATCAAATTTTTCTTTTAATCGAGTTGCTTTCCCTATTCGATTACGAAGATAATAAAGTTTTGCACGTGATACTTGAGATCGACGTAAAATATGAATACTTGTAACGCAAGAAGCATGTATCGGAAATACGCGCTCAACACCAATACCTTGTAAAATTTTTCTTACAGTAACTGTGGTATTTAAACCTGCTTTATGTAGAGCAATTACTGTTCCTTCAAAAGGTTGTACACGTTGTTTTCCGGATTCTTGAATAGAAATACCAAGACGGATAAAATCGCCGACTTTTATCTCAGGTAATTGGTTTTTTGAAAATTTATATTCAATCTTTTTTATAATATTTTGAAAATTGTTCATATATATTTTTTTTTATCAATAAAACTCAATATATATTTATTTTTAAATATATATTGAGTTTTATTTTATTGTAAAATTTTTACTACAACACCAGCACCTACTGTTTTACCACCTTCACGAATAGCAAATCTCATATTGCGTTCAATAGCAATAGGTTGAATTAATTCTACTGTCATTTGAATACGGTCGCCAGGTAATACCATTTTAAGAGGCTCACCAGCGTCAGTAGAAAAAGATGCGATTTTACCAGTTACGTCTGTTGTTCTTACGTAAAATTGTGGTCGATATCCTTTAAAAAAAGGTGTATCACGTCCACCTTCGTCTTTGGTTAAAACGTAAACTTGTGCTTCAAAACTAGTATGTGGTTTAATACTTTTTGGTTTTGCTAAAACCATTCCACGTTGGATATCAGCTTTTTGAATACCACGAAGAAAAATACCAACATTATCCCCCGCCATACTTTCATCAAGTGTTTTTTGAAACATTTCTAAACCAGTTACAGTAGTTACTTTAGTACTACCAAAACCAATAATTTCTACAGTATCCCCGATTTTAACAACACCACGCTCTACGCGACCTGTAGCAACAGTACCACGACCAGTAATAGAAAAAACGTCTTCAATTGCCATTAAAAATGGTTTTTCTACGTTACGTTTTGGAGTTGGTATATAAGAATCAACCGTATCCATTAATTTATAAATTTTATCAACCCATTTGTTCTCACCAGGTTTAATATTTGGATTTTCTGTTAACGCAGATAATGCCATAAGTGCAGATCCAGGAAGCATCGGTACTTCATCACCAGGAAAATCGTATCTTTGTAATGTTTCACGAACCTCTAATTCTACTAATTCAATTAATTCAATATCGTCTACTTGGTCTTCTTTATTGATAAATACTACAATATTAGGAACACCTACTTGTTTTGCTAAAAGAATGTGTTCTTTAGTTTGTGGCATAGGGCCATCAGCACCAGATACAACAAGAATAGCACCATCCATTTGAGCAGCACCAGTAATCATGTTTTTTACATAATCCGCATGTCCAGGGCAGTCTACATGAGCGTAATGGCGATTTTCTGTTTCATACTCTACATGAGCTGTATTGATAGTAATACCACGAGCTTTTTCTTCAGGTGCAGAATCAATATCGTCATATTTTTTACCTTTTCCACCATCACGTGCAGCTAATGCCATAGTAATTGCTGCAGTTAATGTTGTTTTACCATGATCCACATGACCAATAGTACCAATATTAACGTGTGGTTTTTTACGTTCAAATTTTGTGCGTGCCATAAAAAAGTCCTTTTTTAGTTATGTTGTATACAAATTTTAAAAATTTAACAATTTAAAGAAATAGATTATTAATCCTGATTAACAAATAATTATAATAAAACCTTCAAATTTTTTCAAGTCTAAAAACGTTGTTTTGCAAACGCTTTATTGGCTTCTGCCATTCTATGGATTTCATCTTTTTTTTTCACAGCATTACCTGCTTTATTAGAAGCATCAATTAACTCATTGGTTAATATAACGGACATTGGTTTCCCGTGATTATTACGACAAGCTGTTAATATCCAACGAATAGCTAAAGTAGTTCCCCGTTCAGGAAGAACTTCAATAGGAACTTGATATGTCGAGCCCCCTACCCGTCGAGCTTTTACTTCAATAAGTGGTGTTGTGTTTCGAATTGCTTGTTCAAGTATTACAAGTGGATCTTTTTTTGTAATTTCAGCAATTTTATTCATGCTTTCATACATAATTCTATATGCTAATAATTTTTTACCGTTTCGCATAACCTGTCGTACTAAAAGTTCTAAAAGACTACTTTTATAAAGAGGATCAGGCATTACAGTACGTTTTTTTGCTGTACGTCGACGTGACATAAATAGTTAAAGAATATATTTAGTAAAGATTAAATTATAATTTTCAATAGAATCAAAAAAACTCTATTGAAAATTATATTAAAATAGATTTAGTTTTAAATTTTTTATTTTGGACGTTTTACACCATATTTTGAACGACCTTGGTTACGATTTTTTACTCCAAGTGAGTCCAAAGTACCACGAACAATATGATAGCGGACACCGGGTAAATCTTTTACACGGCCTCCTCTAACTAAAACGACTGAATGTTCTTGCAAATTGTGGCCAATCCCTGGGATATAAGCAGTAACTTCAAATTTTGAAGATAACCGAACACGTGCTACTTTTCGTAAAGCGGAATTTGGTTTTTTTGGAGTATTTGTATAAACTCGAGTGCATACACCTCTTCTTTGTGGACATGCTTGTAACGCCGGCGACTTTGTTTTTTTAAACATACGCTTACGTGCTGATCTTACTAATTGTTGAATAGTTGGCATAAATTCCTAAAAAGTAAAAATTAAAGAATCAGGGAAAAATCGATTAATTTCAATTAATAATCCCGCAACAACTGTTAGACTTGCTAAAGCAAGAACTGGTGCAGTTGATAAATAAGTTTTGAAGTTTTGCATATAATAATTTGTTTTTTTTAATTTTTAAAATATTTTATTAACCTTTTTTAAATTCTAATACCTAGAAATTACTATTTTTAAAATATATTAAGATCAATAAAAAAAGTAAAAAATAAATTTTATATTATAAAAAAATAGATAAAATTTATTTATTTTTAGTATATAAGTTTTAGTTTTTTACTAAAATCCATTAAAATTGAAAAATGGAAGATTACTTTATATCATAAAAATAAAATATAAGTTTCGGGATGTAGCGCAGTTTGGTAGCGTGCCTGTTTTGGGAACAGGGGGTCGCAGGTTCAAATCCTGTCATCCCGAGAACGCTTTTAGTTCAGTTGGTAGAACGCAGGTTTCCAAAACCTGATGCCGTGGGTTCAAGTCCTACAAAGCGTGATTTAATAATTTTAAATAAATTTTTTTTTCTACAAAATTATTACTTTTTACATTTATAGTATGTCATTTTTTTAATAAAAATCAAATTTTTTTTGTTTTTAATTTTCTACTAAATAACGATTAACAAATGGCAGTAACCCACTCATACGTCCTCTTTTTATAGCTGTTGCTACAGTACGCTGTTGTTTTGAGGTTAAGCCAGTAATTTTTTTAGACAAAATTTTGCCTTGTGGGCTAATGAAATTCATTAAAAGTTTTGTATTTTTATAATCAATAGTATAACGAGAATTAGACTCATTTAAATTTAATTTTTTTTTTATTTGTAAATAAAAATTTTTGCTATTAGTATTTTTAAATGATTTCATTTTTTATATTTAGAATAAATAGTTATAATTTAAATTTTGATAAATTACTAGATTTTAATAAAATCTAGTAATTTATCAAAAGATTCTTTATCTTGAAGTGCTATTTGACTGCAAATTTTTCGATTAAGAAGAATTTTAGAGGTTTTAAGCTGATTTTGAAAGTTACTATAATTTAATCCTGATAAACGAACTGCAGCATTTATACGTGAAACCCAAATTTTAACAAATTCACGTTTTTTAATTTTTCTATCTTTATAAGAATTTGTTAATGCTTTTATTGTTCTTTGTTGGGCGGTTCTATATAATTTAGACGATGAACCACGAAAACCTTTTGTTAAATCTAATACTTCTTTTCGTCTTTTATGGGCAATATTACCACGTTTTACTCGAGTCATAAATAAAATTAAAGTTTTTTTATATACTAATTTGATAATTATTCAAATTAAAACGAAATCTTAATTAAATAATTTTTTTAATTATAGAGTAATTTTTTTAATTAAAATTGAAATAGTTACTCTTAAATAACAGAAAATTTAATTCATATTATTTAAATTTTTTTCCAATTATTTGAAAAAAGACAACATTAAATGGTAACTATTAGTATTAAATATTTTAATTTTTTTTTTAGTTGTCTACCCCCAGGGGAATTCGAATCCCCGTTTCCTCCGTGAAAGGGAAATGTCCTAGGCCTCTAGACGATGGGGGCTGGTTTGGAATTGTTTAATGAAAAATTTAGTTTAAGGAGTGGGAATAGGATTTGAACCTATGACCTTAAGGTTATGAGCCTTACGAGCTACCAGACTGCTCTACCCCACTTACATTATTAATCATTGATTTTATAATATTTAATACTACTGAAAAGTGTCAAGAAAATAAAATAATTGAATTTTATTTATAAAATTTTTATAATAAAATTATAATATAAAAAACAAAATAATTATATATTGGTTATAATCTTAGGGATCAATTCTATCAATTTAATGCGGATATAGCTCAGTGGTAGAGTGGCACCTTGCCAAGGTGCTTGTCGCGCGTTCGAATCGCGTTATCCGCTATAATTTGATACTTATTAGGAAAGGTGGCAGAGCGGTTCAATGCATCGGTTTTGAAAACCGACGTAGTTTTCGAAAGGGTAGCGGGGGTTCGAATCCCTCCCTTTCCGTTACTTCGAGTTTTAATAATATAATTATATTAAAATTTTTATCATTTTTTTATTTTAGAGTAGAATAAAAAAAGGATAAATTAAAAAATTATTTTTTATTTAAATTTTATTGAATCGGATTTAAATATATAATACTTAACAAATAAAAAGGATATATTTTAATGGAAGTAAATATTCTTGGTTTAATTGCAACTGCTCTATTTATTATTATTCCTACTGCATTTCTTTTAATTCTTTACGTAAAAACAGAAAGAAGTCAGTCAGCAAATTAATTTTTATTTTTGGGCCGAGCTGGATTTGAACCAGCGTAGGCAAAGCCAGCGGATTTACAATCCGCCCCCATTAACCACTCGGGCATCGACCCAGTTTGAACCTTTATATTTTATTACGGAAATTTAACAAAATTTTTGTATATTTATATTTTTATAATATTGTATTCGTCTCTAGAAAAAACTGCAATATTTAATTTTAAAATTTTACTAAAATTAAAAAAATTATTACTATATTGTATATATATATGCAATTAAATAATAATTTTTTTATTGGGGATATGGCGGAATCGGTAGACGCAACGGACTTAAAGGAACTATTTATATTTATATATAAATTGAGCCTATTAGAGGAAACTTTAATAGTGAATGCTCTCAAATTCAGGGAAATCTTTAAATAAAAAAGACAATCCTGAGCCAATTTGCTTTAAAAATTATTTTTCTAGCAAAAGGTGCAGAGACTCGACGGGAGCTATCCGCAAACAAATTTTAATTTGATTTAAGGATAAAGAGAGAGTCCAGCTTCTAAAAACTGAAAATCCGTTGATTCATTGAATCGTGAGAGTTCAAGTCTCTCTATCCCCAAAATCAAATCTTTTTTTTATTTTTTATTTCCAACTCACAGTAATGTCTTCTAAAAGAACAGAACTATTGTAGATTTCAAGAATAATTACAAGAAAAACTGCAAATAATCCCATAAAAATCCCCATTATTGCAGTAGTCCCCCATCCTGGGGCTACTTTACCATATTCAGAATTTAAAGGTTTTAGTAGTGTTCCCAAAGAAGTTATTTTCCCAGGTTGAATATTTTGTGTATTTGAAGCTTTTCTGCCAGATGTAGTTCCAGTTGCCATAATTTTAAATAAAAATTGTATTTAATTTACTTTCTATATTTTTATGTGAATTTACAAATTAAATATTGAGTTTAAATTTTATTGAAATTTTTCGATTTTGTGGGTATTTATTATTAATATATAATGTATTAGGGAAAAAAATTATGGAAAATTCAGCTATTTTTATTACTATTTTTTTGTGGTGTTTACTTATAACCATTACAGGTTATTCAATTTATATAGGCTTTGGCCCACCTTCGCAAGAATTGAGAGATCCTTTTGAAGAGCATGAAGATTAATATTAAAAGAATTCTTTTAATATTAATCTTCATAAAATAGATTTTTTATTTAAATAACACCAACATTATTTACCAGGAACGCGTGGAGGTTCTCTAAAGAAAATCGAAAAAAATATAATACCTAGAGTACCGACTAATAAAAACGTATAAACTAATGCTTCCATATTAACTGCTTATTTATATATTTAATTTTTTAATATAAATAAACGTTTTTTTTACTTAAATTTTTTAGCTTAAGTAAAAAAAACGTTTATTTAATTTTATATAATAAAAATTTATGTTAAACACACAAATTAATATTTAATCAACCTAAAATTATTTTATATTGATTGTCGAGGCGTAGATTTATCACCAAGTTTTTGAAATGCACCGAATTCGATTTGTTCATCTAAGTCAGCATCAATACCTGCAAAAACATCTCGGAAAATAGTTCGAGCGCCGTGCCAAATATGTCCAATAAAGAAAAATAAAGCAAAAATTAAATGTGCAAAAGTAAACCAACCACGTGGGCTTGTACGGAAAACACCATCAGATTGTAAAGTTGATCTATCAAATTCAAAAACTTCACCTAATTGAGCACGACGTGCGTATTTTTTAACAGTAGCGGGATCAGAAAAAGTAACACCATCTAATTCACCACCATAAAAAGTAACTGAAACACCTACTTGTTCAATACTATATTTTGATTCTGCTCTACGGAATGGTACATCAGCTCGAACAACACCATTATTATCAACAAGTAAAACTGGGAAAGTTTCAAAGAAAGTCGGCATACGTCGAACAAATAATTGATTACCCTGTTTATCTTTAAATACTGCGTGTCCTAACCAACCTACAGCAATACCATCACCACTATTCATAGCACCTGTACGGAAAAGTCCACCTTTCGCTGGATTATTTCCAATATAATCATAAAATACTAGTTTTTCTGGTATTTCAGACCATGCTGCTGTTGCTGATTTTCCACTACCAATACTGCTCTGTACGCGGCGTTCAATTTCTTGTTGGAAAAACCCTAAATCCCATTGGTAACGCGTTGGTCCATATAATTCTACTGGAGTAGAAGAAGAACCATACCACATTGTTCCAGAAACAACAAAAGCTGCCCAAAAAACTGCTGCGATACTACTAGAAAGTACTGTTTCTATGTTTCCCATTCGTAAGCCATTATATAGGCGTTGTGGAGGTCGAACACAAAGATGAAACAAACCTGCTAATATACCAAGAATACCAGCTGCAATATGGTGCGCCGGAACTCCACCAGGATTAAAAGGATCAAATCCTGTAGCATCCCAAGATGGTGATACGGGCTGAATACTTCCACTAATACCATAAGGATCTGATACCCAAATACCAGGACCAAATAAACCAGTTACGTGGAAAGCACCAAAACCAAAACAAGCTAATCCTGATAAGAAAAGATGAATACCAAAAATTTTTGGTAAATCTAAAGCAGGGTTTCCTGTACGTGGGTCACGGAAAAGTTCTAAATCCCAATAAACCCAATGCCAAATTGAAGCTGCAAATAATAATCCAGATAATATAATATGAGATGCTGCTACACCTTCATAACTCCAAATTCCAGGATTATTCGCTGTTTCTCCACTAATAGTCCAACCACCCCATGATTGAGTAACACCTAATCGTGTCATAAAGGGAAATACAAACATCCCTTGACGCCACATAGGGTTTAATACAGGATCTGATGGATCAAAAACTGCAAGTTCATAAAAGGCCATTGAACCTGCCCAACCAGAAACTAATGCTGTGTGCATTAAATGAACAGAAATTAAACGACCTGGGTCATTTAATACTACTGTATGTACACGAAACCAAGGAAGACCCATAAAAATACTTATATTTTAAAAATTTCATTTATTTACTTTCTTTCTATATTAAAAAATAAAAAATACTAATAACTTTTTTTTATTTTTATAAATTATTATTTTTATTATTATACCATCAATTATAATATTTTATTTATACATTTTTGCTTACTAGTTAGTGTTTTAAAATAAATTTTATTTAGGTTCAATATATCTTTATAATATAATTCTGTATAAAATTATACAGAATTATATTATAAAGATAATGGCTTAAAATATAAAATGAAACTTCATTTTATATTTTAAGCAGAAAAATTAATATTATGATTGTTTTGACGCCAAATTAAGAATAGCCATTTTTTCACTTAGAGCTAATGATGGAAATAATCTTGGCTTACGTTTTTCTTGTCCAGGAATGGTCTCATCTGTATTTCCAGGCCAAATAAATCCCCCTTTTTTAGGAGTTAATTTTCGTAATAAAGGACGGTAGTCTCTTTTATTTGGTTCAAGCATGTATTCCATTAGCCATTCTCGAGTAGCAGGTATCCCTTTATCTTTAACAGCTTCAAAGAGTTCTACCATATACTCATCTTGGGGTTCGATTACAACTTGCTCTTTTCGTTCTTTTAATACAACATAAGGTACTGTATTTTCATGTGGAAGTATTTTAAATTCCTCTTCAGCAAGTGGCCAACAAGTAAACTTGATGAGTTGGTTTGCCTGTTCTTTTTTTAAAGATTGTATTTTTAAATAATTTTTTACTTGAGCTTCTGCATGTACTGAATGATATTTCTTTTTCGATAAATATTCATTTGGTGTATCAGTAGTAGAATTTTTTATAAATTCTGGAGTAACGTACATATATGAACCAGCAAATTTTCTTGTTATTGCTTTGTTAGTAATCATTAATTTTCGTGACTCTTCATCCCACCCAACATATAAAGGTAAACTATATTGATCATCCAAAGCAACATTATCATACTCTGTTTTATTAGAATTATTAATTAAATCATATAATTCTTCGTGAGGCTCAGGACCAATATCTGAATCATTAAGTTTATAAAGAGGTTGATCAAATTTTAAAACTAATTTAGTACGTTTTATTTTTTCTAACCCATCAATATAATTGTATTTTCCAGTATTTTGGTTGTTACTGAGGATCTTGATTATATCTTCCTCATTCTCCTCATCTTCTTCGTCTTCTTCCGCTTCCTCATCTTCTCCGTCTTCTTCCTCTTCTTCGTTTTCTGCAACAGTTACCTCATTGTCACGGTTCGCAAAATCTAAAGTTTGGCTTTCAACACTATTTTCATCCTCATTAATTAAATTTAGTTCGTCATTATTTTGATTTTCCTCTTCATTTGTTTCGTCATTTTCTTCCGCTTCCTCATCTTCATAAACAGCCTCTTCACAAATTAATTGAAGATCATCTTCTTTTAAGAAATCAAAATCATGACTAGCAATATATTCTAAAAAATTATTTTTACTAAAATCTAATTCTTCATCTACTGTTAAACTAAAATATTTAGTAAGATTTCGCAAAGTTCCTGTAAATTGTTGATTATAAACTTGACTAGTTAAGTTTTTTGAGCCACTAAAAAATTCTTCAAATATATTTGAATACGGCATTTTTGTATAAAAACGTAAAGAATCATAATATTTAGCTAAAATATTTCGTTTTGCTAATAAATCATATTCATGCTCTCCACTTAAACGAAATTTTCGAGGTTGTCGATTTAATAAGCAATCAATATCCAATTTTAATAAACTTTTGAAAATCCAGCTTGAATTATATTGCTGTTTAAGACGTAATGATATTTGTTGATGGATTTCACCAAGAGTAACTTCATTTTGAATGAAAGCTTGAGGAAAAAGATACATCCCTTGTACATTATTTCTTATAATGAAGCTCTGAAGGCGATCATCTTCATCGGTACTAACATCTTCAAAATCATACCAGTAATAAAATCTATCAAGTATTACTTGATGGGGTTCTTTTGGCTCCTCTGAATTAACTTTTCTTTTTTTCTTAGTAACCTGTTTTTCTTCAACAATAGGTTGAATTTCCGCTCCCTCTCGAGCAGTTTCTATATACTTTTTAGCTTTAATAGGATCATACTCAATCCCTAACTCTTCGTATTGTTTTTTTAAGTAGTCCGTAAATGTTATTGGTTCATTATGTGCGGGTGCAGGATAAGCCACAGAAGATGATGTAGTGGATGATTCAGAAGTTGGTGCAAATATATTATTTATAATCTCCTGAATTTTATCATTTTTTTTCATCTTATTGTTTAATTCAAGACGATAAAATATCAATGGAGTTTCTTGTGGTAAAACCCGCTCTGATTGAGATTGAGTTACTCTATTAAATCCTAAATTTTCTGCTAATCGCTGTCCTTTAATATGAGTAGAAACCACATCTAATGATAATTTTTCCACTCTTCTCACCCACGCATAATCAGATCGATAGGATAATTCCTCCATACTCACTGTAATATCCTCTCCCGGATAAACTAAATATTGACCCCTATTAAAAGGAAATAGTTTTAATTCCATCAGTTTTCCTTCAGTAATATAACTGAATTCAGGAGAAATATCTGGTACCGAATTATGACTAAATATTGTCGATTCAAAAACGTCGTCTTCTGAAACAAAACCAAGTGGTCCTGTTAATATATAATTATAAGCATAATAAGGAAGAGTTGCTAAACTAATAGCTATTGAGCAAATAAAAGAAACTCTATTAATATCAGATATAATTTTACTAGTATAAAACATCGTACGGTCAAGTACAAAGTTTTTTACTTTTAAAAAAAACCACATCCAGAAGCTTGTAAAAACAACAGATCCAAGTAAAATGCCAGTTATATATAAAAAATTATTGGCAATACTTAACCCTAAATGATTCGAAGTAAACCCTTGTAAAATTGTTGGGTTTGCTGAAAAAGTCACATTACTTAAAAATTGAAAAATAGCGCCTTGCTCACACCATGCCATTAAAAAACTATATATAAAAAATTTTTTATATTTTGGGTGATGCCAAGTTTTTAATGCAAGTAAACTTTCAAACCGTAATGAAAAAATAATGCGCGCAACAAGAATTAAGCCAGCAATATAGTTTAACGGTTCTAATGTTAACCATGGAATAATTATACCTTGTATACCAAAAGTAACACAACTAATAAACACAATTTGACCAGCAATATAACCACCAAAAGAAAAAACGGCAGCTGGGATTCCTTGAATTAATAATCTTCTAATTGAAATAATATGTATTATAGAAAATGGAAGCGTGAAAAAAGCACTATTTAAAAACCCAACTAATAAAGGATTTTGCTCTACATGTAAAATCTCTAAAAAATCAAATAAAGATCCTGGGGGCGTTTGCCCAACGAGTGATTCATAAAAAGCTGGTATTTTTATAGGTAATAGACTAAAATCACGAATCCATTGAAAACTTAAAAACTGTAAAATACAAGTTTGACATATTTTTAAAACGTAAAGTAAACTTTCCGAAATAAATTTTTCAAACTCGATAGGATTACCTGGCGTTTCAGTAACTCCAGCTAATACTTCAACATAATCGCGAATATTTTCACTTAATGACATATACTAAATATATAATAAGTTCTTTTTAATAAAAAAAGTAAAAAGAGCCATATCCCCTTTTTCTTTTAGTTAATGAATAATTTAAAATAAATTATATAACAAAATATAAAAACACAATTTTCTAAATTCAATATAAAATTAACGACGAGAATAGAAAGATTGTGCTGTATTTACTAAAAAAATAATAATTAAAGCAAGAAGTAAAATTACAGCACCTATAACAGACGCTCCAAAATAATCATATTGCTCTAATGATTGATAAATTAAAACTGAGGTTACTAAATCATCTAATGGAAGATTAGATGAAATCATAACAACAGAACCAAATTCACCCAATGCTCGCGAAAAACTTAATGTAAATCCGGTAACTAATGCTGGCACCAATGTAGGAAAAATAACCCGCAAAAAAGTTTGAAATGAACTTGCACCCATACCCCATGCAGCTTCTTCTAAACCATGATCAAATTCTTGTAATACCGGTTGTAATGATCTTATTACAAAAGGGAAAGATACAAAAATCATAGCTAAAAGTACACCAAATCTTGTATAAATAATTTGAATGTTTGCCATTTTTAGATAATTACCAACCCAACCTTGGTGTCCATAAACTGTAGCTAAAGTAAGGCCTGCAACTGATGTTGGTAAAGCAAAAGGTAAATCAACCGCAGCATCAACAAATCTTTTACCCCTAAATTCATAACGAGTGATCATCCATGTAATTAAAAACCCAAAAACACTATTTAAAAGAGCTGCTGTTAAAGCCATTTTAATAGTAAAAGCATAAGCCGAAATTGCAATAGGATCTAATGCTTTTTCTAAAATTTCTCTCCAACTATTTTTAAAAATTAATGAAAATAGAGCAAAAAGAGGAAGAACTAATATAAAAAATACATAATTTCCAAGCATTACTCCTATAAGTAATTTTGGATTAGTTTTTTTTAAAAACGGTAAATTGTGGAAACTAGTTGTTTCTTGTTTATTCATAAAAATTCGCTCATTTTTATTTTTTTCTAAATAAACTGTATTAAAATCATTATTAGTTTTCTTTATTTAATAATGATTTTAATACAGTTTTTGCTTTAGCTAAAGCTTTTTTTGCTTGGACCGACGCTTGCGCCTTCCACTGTGATTTTCTTAAATTTTTTCTTGTTTTAGATTGTCGTTTTTTAGGAACTGCCATTATATTCTCCTAATATAATTTTTTTAAGGAATTCTGCAAAATTTTATATTTATTATATATCTTTTTTTACAGAAATTTCAAATAATTATTATTAATAATTTTGAATTCATTTTTTAATTACTTCTTTTTATAGTATAAAATTGTATTAAACTTTATTTTATAACCAGTTGATTAAAATTTAATATAGTTAGATTATTATACTAGAAAAATTACTAAAAACATTAAAATGTTTTATATATTTTATATTTATTCAAGAGTTTTAAAATTTATCATCTCAGAAAGAAATATAATAATAATGTTTTAAATATGCAAATAAATTAAAAAAACTCCCTTTTTATTAATTATATATCTTTTAATAAAAAAAAACCAGTTTTCTTACATATTTAAAAACTTAAATAAATAGAAAATATATTAGGTTATAAAGAATCCATAACTATGTAGCCCTTTACCAAAAAAATTCACACCTAAATAACAAACCCAAATAATAATAAAACCAAAACTAGCGACCCAAGCTGATTTTATACCTTTAAATTTACCAACAAACCGCATATGTAAATATATAGCAAAAACTAACCAAGTTATAAAAGCCCATGTTTCTTTTGGATCCCAACTCCAATAATTTCCCCATGTTTCATTAGCCCAAACAGCCCCAGAAAGAATCCCTAATGTTAAAAAACAAAAACCAATTCCGATTAATCTATAACTAAAATTATCCAAAAAAAGTAATTGAGTTTCTTTATTTTTTTTTTGTAAAGGGTAATTACTATTATACATTGCATATATAGGTTTTGGCTCATCTTGGTTGATTAGATTTGCAGGTGGAGTTTTATATTCTTGAGGTTTAAAAGAAAAATTTATAAATATATAGCTTATTGAAAAAAGAGAACCTAATAATAATGCCCCATAACTTACTATCATTGCACTAACATGCATAAATAACCAATTAGATTGTAAAGCTGGTACTAACGGGTGTAATTGATAGAGTGATGAAGGCAGACTAAAATAACTAAATGCTACGATAAGTAAAACTAACGGCGAAACAAATAACGCAGCAAACTCTCTTTTTGTTGAAATTTCTAAAAAAGCATATAAACAAAGTAATACCCAAGCTAAAAACAACAATGATTCATATAGACCACTTAAAGGGAAATGTCCTGAAAAATGCCAACGTAAACAGAGTTGACTAATTATAAAAAAATTTGAAAGTAAAATCCCAAATACGCCGAAAACCTTATATCCTATTTTTGGGTAGCGTAAAAATTTTGTCCAATAATAGACAGTAGTTAAAAATAGGGTTATTAGATTACCATGCGATAATTCTGTTTCGATTGCTTCAAAATTCATATTTTTTTAGTTATAATTTAATTTTTATTTATTATAAATTATTTAAAATAAAAAAGCAAGACCTAATAATATATTAAATATTAATTAATAATATTTTAAATAATTATATACTAAAACATGTAATCAACTATTAATATTGTTTGTTAAAATAAAATTGATCTGTATTATTATTTACAAATTTACTTTTAAGGATATTATAATTATGAAATTAGCTGTTTATGGTAAAGGTGGTATTGGAAAATCAACAACTAGCTGTAATATTTCAATAGCTTTAGCGAGACGTGGAAAAAAAGTATTACAAATTGGTTGTGACCCAAAACATGATAGTACTTTCACACTTACAGGTTTTTTAATTCCAACAATAATTGATACACTACAAGCAAAAGACTATCATTATGAAGATGTTTGGCCTGAGGATGTTATTTATCAAGGATATGGTGGTGTAGATTCTGTTGAAGCAGGGGGTCCTCCGGCGGGTGCAGGGTGTGGTGGATATGTTGTTGGTGAAACTGTTAAATTATTAAAAGAACTTAACGCATTTTACGAATATGATATTATTCTTTTTGATGTTTTAGGTGATGTGGTGTGTGGAGGATTTGCTGCTCCATTAAATTACGCAGATTATTGTTTAATTGTTACTGATAATGGATTTGATGCTTTATTTGCAGCAAATAGAATTGTAGCCTCTGTTAAAGAAAAAGCACGCACACATCCATTACGATTAGCTGGTTTAATTGGTAATAGAACAGCCAAACGCGATTTAATTGATAAATATGTAGAAGCTTGCCCAATGCCTGTATTAGAAGTTTTACCGCTGATTGAAGATATTAGAATTTCGCGTGTTCAAGGAAAAACTCTTTTTGAAATGGCTGAATTAGAGCCTAATTTTAATTATATTTGTGATTATTATCTTAATATAGCAGATCAATTATTATCACAACCCGAAGGTGTTGTTGCTAATCAATTGGCTGATCGTGAACTTTTTACGCTATTATCAGATTTTTATTTAAATATTAAAAAAACGCCAAGTAATCCTGTTTCTCCTGAATTAGACTTTTTAATGATTTAAATAAATCCTAAAATTGATAAAATTATCAAAAAATAATACTTTAATTTACGTTTATAAATATCTAAATATTAATATTTAAAGAGATTACAATTCAATAACTATAAATTATGACAAATAACCTTTCGACTGATAACCTAACTTTTGAATGTGAAACTGGCAATTATCATCCTTTTTGTCCAATTAGTTGTGTAGCTTGGCTTTATCAAAAAATAGAAGATAGCTTTTTTTTGGTAATTGGAACAAAAACTTGTGGTTATTTCCTTCAAAACGCATTAGGAGTTATGATTTTCGCGGAACCTAGGTACGCAATGGCTGAATTAGAAGAAGGCGATATTTCAGCTCAATTAAATGACTATAAAGAATTAAAACGTCTTTGTTTAGAAATAAAACAAGATAGAAATCCTAGTGTAATCGTTTGGATTGGGACTTGTACAACTGAAATTATTAAAATGGATTTAGAAGGGATGGCCCCCAGATTAGAAACAGAAATAGGAATTCCTATTGTTGTAGCACGGGCGAACGGTTTAGATTATGCATTTACACAAGGAGAAGATACTGTTCTTGCAGCTATGGTTCATCGATGTCCCACTGAAACTTTAACAGAAAATACAAAGAAACACCCTTCATTAGTATTATTCGGATCTTTACCTAATACAGTAGCAAATCAGTTAAATATGGAATTAAAACGACATAATATTGAAGTTTCTGGTTGGCTACCATCACATCGTTATTTAGATTTGCCTCATTTAGGCGAAAATGTTTATGTTTGTGGAATTAATCCTTTTTTAAGTAGAACGGCAACGACACTAATGCGACGAAAAAAATGCAAACTTATTTGTGCTCCATTTCCTATAGGCCCTGACGGTACACGAGCTTGGATTGAAAAAATTTCTTCTGTTTTTGGTATAATTCCACAAGGGCTAGAAGAAAGAGAACAAGCTATTTGGGAAAGTTTAGAAGATTACTTACAATTAGTAAGAGGGAAATCTGTTTTTTTTATGGGAGATAATCTTTTAGAAATATCATTAGCACGTTTCTTAATAAGTTGTGGTATGATTGTTTATGAAATTGGAATTCCATATATGGATAAACGGTTCCAAGCTGCTGAGTTAGCTTTATTAGAAACAACGTGCAAGAAAATGAACGTTCCTTTGCCGCGAATCGTAGAAAAACCAGATAATTATCACCAAATCCAACGTATTAGAGAACTCCAACCAGATTTAGCAATTACTGGAATGGCGCATGCTAATCCGTTAGAAGCGCGAGGAATTAATACTAAATGGTCTGTTGAGTTTACATTTGCCCAAATCCATGGATTTACAAATGCTCGGGATATTTTAGAATTGATCACACGACCATTACGTCGGAATCAAGCTTTAGGAACATTAGGTTGGTCTCAATTGATTAAAACTGATAATTAATTTTTTTTTTGAATTTGTTAGTACACGTACATATATTAAAGATGTACGTGTACGTGCTTGTAGCTCAGTGGACTAGAGCACATGGCTACGAACCATGGAGTCGGGGGTTCAACTCCCTCCTAGCACAAAAAAAGCAAAATTAAATCAAAAAAACATAAAATATTGCACCTCTTTTTATTATCATTAATAAGAACTTAAATGATTTGTAATCTAAAAACAATGAAAATAGTATGTTTTTAATAACAATTATTTTATTTTAATAGTATATTATATGTAAATTTCTTAAAATTTTAAAAATAAAATCAATAAGTTATTTATGGAGGTAAATCACTATGATAAAAATAAAAGAAATATTAACTAAAAAAGAAAAACAATTATTATTGCAAGTAGAAGAACCACTACTTAAAGAAAAAGAGGAAGAAACCAAAAATAACGAACAACCACAAAAAGGTTTAGAAAAAGATAAACTCAAAGAAATAAAAAAAAAAAATAAAAGAACCTATGATTCCAGAATCAACCTCCGAAGAAAACTCAACTAAAAAAGATATTGATGAACCAGAACCTCGGGTTATAGTAATAACTTCTGGGAAAGGAGGTGTAGGAAAAACAACAACTACTGCTAATTTAGGAATGTCTATAGCTAGATTTGGTTATCGTGTTGCTTTAATTGATGCGGACATAGGATTACGAAATTTAGATTTATTATTAGGTTTAGAAAATCGTATTACTTTTACAGCTATGGATATTATTGAAGGGCGTTGTCGATTAGACCAAGCACTTGTACGAGAAAAGCGATGGAAGAATTTAGCATTATTAGCAGTTTCTCGAAATTACCAAAAATATAATGTAACACAACAACATATGCGACAATTGGTTTCTTCAATAAAAAAATTAGGTTATCAATTTATAT